ACAAACTTTTTTAAGAATGAGTTTTAATGAGGTTCATTAAAATCAAGGTATAGCCCAGGATAAGAATCATCGAAGAAAATTAGCCATATTAACAGAACAAGTTATTCACTCAACAAATATTTACTGAGAACCCACTGAACACAAAAATTGGGTTGAGGATCCAAAACACACGTTTCTAAGTCCTGATTGAGGTGGAGACGACAAAATTAAAGGCAGCAATAGAAGATGAGATAACAAAGTTTAGGTAAGTAGCCGCAGTGGTAGATAAAGAATGTATTTCTGAAGTTTAGTGGTTCTCAAAATTCAGTTGTATCAGAATTTCCTGGAGGGTCTGTTAGGACAAAGAAGGTGGGCCTCTCCCTCAAAGTTCCTATATCAATCTGGGGTGGAGCATGAGGTTTTGCATTTCCTTACTAACAATCATAGGCTGCAGATATAGATACAGGTATAGATATTCCTCTTTCTTAATTTTGAATAAAATAAGGCTCAGAAAAGATAATAGGCAAACTGAAGCTAAAGGCTTGCTTTTGTTAAAAAATAAGACATTCTTTTTTGTGTGTAATATGAGCAAAATTTATTTAAAAACTTTTACTCTTTGCTCTAATCCTATATAATAAAAGGGGAATATGCAAACTGACCCTAACACCAGAACGACTGGGAATGACTGGTCACTATGACACACACTGACCACCAGGGGGCAGACGCTCAATGCAGGAGCTGCCCCCTGGCGGTCAGTGCACTCCCACAGGGGGAGCTCTGCTCAGCCACAAGCCAGGCCAATGGCTGCCAGCACAGCAGTGGTGGTGGGAGCCTCTCCCGCCTCCTCAGCAGCACTAAGGATGTCCGACTGCAGCTTAGGCCTGCTCCCCGCTGGCAAGTAGACATTCCCTAAAGGCTCCCGGGCTGCCAGAGGGATGTCTGACTGCCAGCTTAGGCCTGTTCCCCTAGGGAGCGGGCCTAAGCCAGCAGGTGGACATCCCCCGAGGGGTCCCAGACTGCAAGAGGGCACAGGCCAGGCTGAGGGACCCCCCCCCAAGTTCACAAATTTTTGTGCACTGGGCCTCTAGTTCTATAATAATCAAGAACTTTGGATATGCAATGAGACTTACTGAGCAGAACTACCACATAGGAAGTCCCTGTGTCTTGTCTGGGCAGTCCATTTGGATCATGTGTTATAGAAGAGTGCATCAGCATTCTGTTTAAAAAACATTTACTTGCATCAATACAAACATTGTAGTATACTTGTCAGCAATCAAAGGGAGTGAACTACAAAACACCCATACTGAGCAAAAGAACCCACACAAAAACGCATACATATTGCTTGTTTCCACTTTTATGATGTTCTAAATTTTTGTAGCATGAGAAAAGTGAGAGGGTGGTTAGCTGGGGCTAGTGATGTGGAGTCACTCTGAAAGCACTAAGAACTTTCAAAGGTGATGAAAGTGTTTTATTTTAACCTAAAAAAAATGGTGTATGGATATTACATGGTTGAGTACATGGGTGTATTCTTTGGTCAGTTAAGAGGCATAAAGATTACACGAGTGTATCCTTTTGTCAATTAAGATGTGTGCATTTCAAGATATGTAAAGTTTATCTGGAAAAATAGCAAGGGGTGATGTGGGATGTAAGGGGATGTACAAAACATATCCTGGTAGAATGTGTGCAGTTGATGACGCCAAAGGAGGCATACAGAGAGTTCATTATACTATTTTGTTTACTTTGCTTATATTTAAAACAAACAAACACAAACACCTCTTTGGATATTAGTCAATCTCTACTACTTCTTTGGAACTTAAACATCCTTTGGTTATTAATAAAATAAAGTTCCTAAAACTGGAAAAAGAGGTATTTTTGTTTCTATTAAATTTATTGGGGGTGACATTGGTCACCATGAACATATAGGTTTCAGGTGTGGGTTTTTATGTTATAAGATCTGTATATTGCACCAGGTGCCCACCACCCAAAGTCAAATCTTCTCCTGTCACCATATATTAAGGACCTCCTACTACCCCCAAAATAGATTTTTATTAATTCCTCTAATAATTATTCAGATACTTTTGTTCACTTTGAACAAATTATTATTTGTAGTTTTTATTTACAATTCACAACCTTCTTTCTCCCCCAAAATTTTTTGAGGAGGGTTGCATTATTTTTTTAATGTGAGTAAATCCATAAGACACAGACAATTGAGAAAATGTCAACAAAGAGGGATAAATAAAAATAAAACAGGGGTATAAATCATTGCAGTTAATCAGAGATTCTTAGCATACAAGGCAAAAAGATAAATACAATGGGCTGTATATGTGCCTTTCCTGTGTGTTATAGGTACAAAAGAGGTCCTCTCCCTTCCTCACTCTGTCATTATATTTGTAAAAGATTATTCATGTGAATCATCTAGAAGCACATGAGTAATATAGTAGATAATATCGTGTTATAGGTACAAAAGAGGTCCTCTCCCTTCCTCACCCTTCCTCACTCTGTCATTATATTTGTAAAAGAATTATTCATGTGAATCATCTATAAGTACATGAGTAATATAGTATATAATATAATGTATTAAACTGTTATTTTGTCATTAAATTTAAAAATTCTGATTTCTATTTTGCAGAGAATGATTAGTCATTTTATCTTTGTTTAAGAATGTAAGTGGCAAGTAAGATTACTGATATTATAAACGTATATCTTTAAAACGTATTCTAAAGGAATGATGGAAATGGAAAATCATCACTTGGCAAATACCAGATAAAAATTTTAATAAACAAGAACCATTGATGGATGCTAACATTTATGGGAAAAGTATGATAAAAAAGATGTTTACATTGTCTCATCTTTCCAGAAGACCTTCATTAATTAGAAAATAAAAAAATAGTAACTATACAGTGGGGCAAACTGTCAGACATCACCATGAACAAGGGATTAAAGTTAGCACCATGAGACATGAGACATATGCACAGTATGCACTGCCTTATGTGGTGCACTGAGCAGGGCACATCATCCTTTCCCCAGTATCCCTGCCAAAAATGCAGAACCACAATATGATCATCAGAAAACACTGGGCAAGCTCAATTGAGGGGCATTCTACAAAATCAACTACCAAATATTCTTGAAAGGGTTAAGGCAATGAAAGAAAGCCTTTCAGATTGGAGAGGATTAAGTAAACTAGGAAACTAAATACAGTATGGAATTCTAGATTGGATGTGGCAGCAGAAAAGAAGATAGTAAGAGAATTGAGGAAATCTGAAAAAAAAAGTCTATAATTAGTTAACAGCATTGTATCAATGCTAATTTTATGACTTTGATAGTTTTATTGTATAGACTCTGGGATAAATGTATACATAGTAACTATATTTGCAACTTTTTGTAAGTAGAAATGACTTGAAAAGAAAAGAAAGCATTCTGAGATTGCTCAGGACTAGCCAGCATTTTACTAGACTTGACTACATTCCACATTTATGAAATGACCTGCGTCAGAATAATGTTTAGAGTAAATGTTATCAGCTGGGCAACTTGCCAACTTAAGCGGAGTATCCATAAAGTGTCTACTTCTCAATAGCATTGCAGCCCATTGATTTGTCACAAATACTTAGCTGCCAGGTGCAACCTCCCTAAACTGAGGCACTGAAACCAGGGAATTCTAGAAAATCTCCAAATAAGAGAGCTGGACAGATATTTCCGATGCACAGAAATTACAGATGAACACCTCCTAATTTTAATTTAAAAATTGTACTGAGACAGTAGATCATACAAAATACAGATCAATGAGGTCCCAAAGGAAATTCTTACCTGAGTTAAAGGAGTATTTTAGAAAACAGAGCAGTAATCAGTAGACACCCACACACACAAATCACAAATTATAACTCATACCTCAATTTATTTCTTTGTTGGAGAAATTTATTGATTGATTGGTAAAGTCACACCAGCTGGACTTGAGTAAGATAATTAGTAAAATCTTTTGTGATATTTTGTGGAGAACAAAGAAAATATTGGCAGAACACATAAATAATTGCATAAAAGTTTTGGTAGTTTAATTACTGGCTGAAATGTCATGGTTAATGGGTTAGTATCACCCTGGAAGAAGGTCCAAGGAGCTTTTTCCTCAGCCAAGTCTGTATAAACGTAATACCGGTCAATGGCACATGGGACAAAAATTCAATGATGAATGAGCACCTGCCAAAAATCACTTATCTTTCCTCTGCCACATGACCCCTTTACATGAACACAGCTTCCAGGGAAGGGGAAGGATGTTTTAATGCAAAGAAGGCCCCTTCTGTACTGCCAAAGACTGGCCGAAACAATGAGATCCTTTCTCTTAGGTAACCACACAAACTGATCATATTAACTCCACTCTTTTCCAGCATCGTTTCTCACTACTTTTTTCATCTAACTTAACTAAATATTCCCCCAGACTCTGGACTTAAAGTTATTATAGCTATCCCAGAGCAGCAGACATTTTGTGTACATGTTTGCCACCAACACGGATTGCCCATCACACATGGTGTTAATTTTTCTTCTCAGTCAATCAATAATAACATATAAAATGTGTTTTTCTTTGTTCATGGTACTGTAATTTATGAAGACAGATAATCTATTAAAGACTTTTAAAAATATCTATTCCAGCCCTAGCTGGTTTGGCTCAGTGGATAGAGCGTCGGCCTGCAGGCTGAAGGGTATCAGGTTCAATTCCTGTCAAGGGCACATGCCAAGGTTGCAGACTTGATCCCCAGTGTGGAGCGTGCAGGAGGTAGGTGATCAATGATTCTCTCTCATCGTTGACGTTTCTATCTCTTCCTCTCTGAAATCAATCTGTGCACCGGGCCTCATATATACTAGTATATATAAGCAAATGAGTAGTCTGAGAAAATACAAAATTCGCTTTTTAAAATATGGAGTGGTAAGAATACTTTGACTTTACTATCCCTTGCTTAGTTTAGGTAGCACGTGTTTATACATTGCAGTCTTGTAATGCGCACAAGAATAATGAAGATTATCAGGGAACTTACCAACACTTGGATAACCAGGCGTAGAAGGGTCTCCTCCTGGATTCAGTGATACCATGAAGGTGTCATCGTCAAGATTTGCAGTCTTTGGTAAATCACAAGGATCAACATATAGGAGGACACCTCCAAATCCAGCCTTTTCCAGTAGGGAAAGCTAAAATAGGAGAATAAACAATTAAAATATTCCCTTATGCATTAAAAGTTTATATACTGCCATTTCATGAATGTGACTGAGATAAGATGACTCCCTTTTCTGTGTTTTTTTTTTTCTCTTTTAAAATAAACAGATGCTTCAGACTTTCCAGTTATCAAGCCCAGCCAGAGAGTTGTTCTACCAGCCTCTCCCCTTTTTTCTCTATCTCAGTGGTCGGCAAACTGCGGATCGCGAGCCACATGTGGCTCTTTGGCCCCTTGAGTGTGGTCACGAAGTTTCAATCGCACTGTACGTGCGCGCCCGCATGTGGTATTTTGTGGAAGAGCCACACTCAAGGGGCCGCAGTTTGCCGACCACTGCTCTATCTCAACAATATTTACGCAACATTCCTATAATGTCGATATATGGGTAGACTCTAATCCAGTATGGCAAGTGTCCTTATAAGAAGAGGGAGAGATAGCAGGGATATGTGTGCACAGAAAGAAAGCATGTGAGGACACAGCAAGAAGGTGGCAATCAGCAAACCAAAAAGAAAGGCCTCAGAAGGAATCAAACCTGTCAACACCTTGATCTTAAATTTTCAGGCTCCAGAACTGCGAGAAAATAAATTTCTCTTTAAGCCATCCAGTGTTTGGTATTTTGTTAGGGCAGCCCTAGCAAACTAATACTTTCACATAAAGTACATATCAGCCAAACTTTATACGAAGATTCAGAAAAGAATTGTGATTATATTCTAGGTCTTCTGAGTCATCTTAAAGCCAAATCAAGTAATGATTGCATATCTACTATGAGTGAGATACTGTCTCAGAAGTGATTTGTTGATTTTTTTTTCCAGAACACTTGATATATCATTTCAATTCCTGTTATATAGTTGCCAAAGCTGTGATCCAGGAAGTTTAAGAGCTTGAGCCAAGGTCAGAAATAATAACGGATAATGCCAGGGATCAAAGTAAAGTTTTCGGAACTCAAGTCTGGCGATATTTCCACTAAAGCACACCTTTTCTTTCAATTATACAGCCATCCTTTACAAAGACAAATAGACTGGTGGAAGGGTGATTTTTTTAATAATAAGGCACATCAGATGCTTCTTGCTGTGATCTGCTTCCTGAGAAGACATTCAGATCAATACTGTGTGAATTATATGCCTGTACTAAGACAACAGAATGTGTACATTTTAGAATCAAGATGCATGGTTATAATAACAGAAAAATAGAAATAAATTTTAAAATTTTGAATCTAGCATTTGATAGCACATTCACACTCATTTAAATAGCTATGTTGTATGTGAAAAATAAAAAATGAAAATCAGACAAATACTCTGATAATTTCTTAAGCACATTATTTTGACCTTCGAGTTCAAATGTTATGTTATTCTTTCTTCTTGGGATTGTTTTTGCCTATTAATAGTTTTGTTGTTTGGCTCTATTATTAGGCATTGTATTGTTACGATGCCATTAAAAAGGTCTGTAAGATTCCAGTTTTCTTTGTTAAGTCTCATAAATAAACTCACCTTCCTTTGTTAATGAGATGACAAGACTGCTTTTGTGAGGAATATTCACTGTAATCAGACTGAGTATATTCAAGGCATAATTAAAGCATTCTTTTTGATTTCATGGAACATCTTTACTTGGATTTCAAATTGTTTAACTTCATGTATTCAACGTTATTTAAATAACTCTACTGAGATTAATAAGAAGCAATGATCTCCTGCTTTTGTAAAGAAAAAAATAAACTTATTCAAAATTTAAACTTGTTGTCAGAGTTCTAGAAATTATCCTCAACTTTTATCATTATGATTCAGGGAGGAGGGAGGCAGGGAAAGATGGTAGGGAATAAGGGAGGAAAGGAGAGAGGGAGGAAGGAACAGAAGGAGGAAGGATTAAGGAGGGAAGATCTCTTATTTTATTAAGTATGCTTAATATAGATATACTTTTATTGTATCTTAAGCCAATTTATCATTGTGGTCTGTGGGGTTATTCTGTTTTCATAAATGAAGTGGTCATGGCATAAGATGACTAAAGACCACATCATTAGTTAATAGCTTATTTTATTTACCGATGCTTTTTTTAAAAAGCGATTCTGTCCACCTTGCTTCTTTTTTTTTAAAACAATAGCTTTTTATTTGTTTTTAGAGATAAAGGAAGGGAGATGGAGAGAGAGAAAGAGAGATAAACATTGATGTGAGAGAGAAACATTGATTGGTTGACTCCCATAGGCACCCAATCAGGAATTGAACTGGAAACTTTGGTATGTGCCCTGATCTGAAATCAAACCTGCCACCTTGTGGTGTATGGGATGATGCTCCAACCAACTGAACCACACCAGCCAGGGCTTCATAGCAGATTTTAGACTAAAAAAATATATCCTCATAATTTATTGTTCTGTGCTTTTCCCATTAAATCATGCTGCTTTGAAATAATGAAATACTGTGATTTTGCACATTTCTTCTATTTTTTTAATTCATATTATTCAACAACCTTTGCAATGTTTGGTGTATAAAAGAAACCTAACCTTTAAGAAAAAAATATTTTAAAATATGATGCTATTTTTGCAACTGTAGCTTCAAAATATTGAGAGCACTATATTTTATATCTCTGCTCCTTAGCTTTACTATGCATGAAGGATCCACTTACGTAGTATGGATCTATTATTTTATGCTCTAGGTTGAGAACATAATGATAGAGTGGGAACAAAAAGTATAAACCTAGACCCTCTTATTTTCAGGTAGAAGGTTTTGAAATTGGGAATAAAAAAGAAAAAAAAACACACACATAGTGGTCTCGGCTCTGTTCCTCTGTCAAGATGTTTCATGAACTGTAAACATTAAAGGTTATTCATCTTTAACAATTTCTCTAATATGATTTCATCACTTTATAGCCAATATTGGGAGGAGTATATATAATTTCTATTAGTAAATATATTGCTAATATTATCAAGTGCTTGCATTTGTCTTTCAATCTGTAGACGTTCTGTTGCTTTTAAACCAAACAAATCATGTTCGAAAGGAACAGGAAACAATATGACCACCATATACACTTAGAAATTATATACAACTTATCATTTTTTGTGCTTATATTTGAGTGTGTGTGAGAGGAAGAGACAGGGGGTGGAGAAAGAGAACACAGCTTCACATAACCCCATGTGTGCATCTCTGGGATCATGTAATTTTCTAATTGCATAAACAAGATTACAGAAAAAAAAACAGGGAGTTTTCCACATTCCTTAGTCTTTGAAAATTTATTATTTAAAAAATGCAAATGTTACCAATATTTTAAACTAAAATGTATTTAATTGAAGCCATAAAGAATGGAGAAAAACTCGTAGATAATAAATAATAGAAGAAAATATCTCTAAAGGTATCTCCCAAATTACCTGTTGTTTAGTTTTTTTGCCATTTTTTGATTTTTCTATGTGTTGATTCCACTTTTGGGAATATATTCTAAGAATTCAAAACACCAATCAGAAAGAATACATGCACCCCTATGTTCATAATAGTGTTATTTACAATAGCTAAGATCGAGAAACATCCAAGTGGCCATCAATAGATGAGTGGAGAGAAAAAGCTGTGGTACATTTATACAATGGAATACCATGCAGCAGTACAAAAAGAAGGATCTCTTATCCTTTGAGACAGCAATGGATGGACCTGGAGAGTATTATGCTAAGCTAAATAAGCCAGTCAGAGAAAGACAAATATCATGTGATCTCACTTATATGTGGAATCTAATGAGCAAAATGAACTGATGAAAAAAACAGAACCAGAGACATGGATGCATGGAACAGACTAACTAATGTCAGAGGGGAGGGGTGTAGAGGAGACTGGGTAAAACAAGGTGAACATATATACACTAGGGGCCTGGTGTACAAAATTCATGTACGGGGGTGGGGGAGGAGTCCCTCTGCCTGGCCTGCAACCTCAGGGGATGTCTGACTGCCGGCAATTGGACATCCCTCTCGCAATCCAGGATGCTGCATACATCAGTGACCATACTTTTCATACAAGTGAAAGGCATCTTACTGTTTTATGGGCAGCTACATTTTTTTTGCCCTGATTATAAAAAGTAGTACATAACATGATCCTTCTGAGGCAGTAGTACCATTTTTTCCCATCTTATGGATGGAAAAACTGAAGCAGGAGAAGTAATGGGCTTTGTCACACAGTTATAAGTGTCAGAATCAGGGCTGACCACAAAATGTGCAAGCCAGAGTCCATGCATGTCATCGCTGCATCATCCTGTTTTTTCAGTGTTAGAGTAGCCTTGCCAGGTTTCAATTTTTAAATCTAAGAGACTGTTCCCAATATATAGGGTAGGGTCCCTAGGCCTGTCAGGTGATCAGGGCCAATCTGTGGAGCGACCCGCAGGAGGGGCAATCTGGGGGCCCCACTGGCACCCGCCTTGGCTGACAGCCTGGTGCCGTCCGCTGGCTGGCTCTGCCCCTGATTGCCACCACTGGTCGCCTCCCTCTCAGGGGGCAGATGCTCAGTGCAGGAGCTGCCCCCACCTAGGTTGAGCCTCTGTCACCTGATCGTCTGTGTGCGTCATAGCAACCAGTCATTCTGCAGATTGTTCCTTTGTTTGGTCAATTTGCATATTAGGGTTTTATTATACAGGACTAGAGACCCGGTGCACAA